CACACACACACACACACACACACACACACACACACACACACACACACACACACACACACTGTTTCCTCATTTACTGTGAATATACTGTCATCATATTGAGAATATTTCTGCATACTTTATACTCTTAGCTACATCATTGTACATCCAAACATTCAGCTCACTCATGAGACAGGTGTTATCCTTTAGTTTTTTAAATATTTAACTTAATTCACAAATATTTTTCACATCAAATTATATTAAGATCTCTTCTTTATATTGTTCTCATGTAATCTGCTTCAGAGTATGTGATCTATTTTATTTTCTTTTGCTAATGTTAGCTATCATTCTTCCATTTTTAGCGTTTATCTAGCCTTTTGATACTTTAGCATTTAGCTTGCTTAGCAAACCACAGCTACTGTTCTGCTACTTTTACTTTTTTTTGCTAGCTTTAACTATCATTCTTCTGTTTTTAACTTGTAACTAATATTTTGCTACTTTTAAATTAGTTCTAACTAATAAACAATGTGCGTCGCTCATTTACTTGTTTGGTGTTTTTCAACTATTTTGGCAATTTTAAATGTAATTTAGAATGGGTATCAGTGATTCATTCTCAGTTTTTTACTTATTAACAGTCATAGGGCGGTACAGTCTGACACCCTGTGTTGGTCAATGGATTTATCATATTAATATATAACATTTACTCCCTCTGTTGGCAATAATCTGTACTATCAGCTCCTCTGAATAGACTGTCATTGGGACGTTAGAAATTTCACCCTATGGACACTTTCTGTTAGTTTTAGTGCACTGATACAAACATGGACCTAACTTGAGCTCATAAACTGCAGAAATATTGTTCAGCAAAACTTAGAGATATTCTGTTTAAAAATGTATTTAGAGCAAACAGAACACGGAAAACTGAGGAAAACAGAACAAATAAAACTGGGACTTTTTGCCAAGAAGATAGGACTGATTTTAACCTAATCCATGGTGACTGTATGTGAATTACTGAGCTACCACTGAGCTGTGGTCATGAAGTCCTCTGTTTGTATGTTAATTTGTAAATCTGGAGTGTCATTGCAGGATTATTACTCCAAATTAAATTAGTAATAAGATCCAAAAAGCTGTTTATCTGTTTACCCACAATTAAAATACAAAATACTTTTGAGTGGATGTAGGTGTTTCTCTGATTTAAAATTACATCAGACTTTTTTTTTCATGAGACACAACCTGCAGAGAGGGAGAAAAAACGACAATTAAATGATTAAATAGGSTTAGATGTCAGGTTTGTCTAAGAGAAACCTAAAAATATTCAAAAATAAACTAACACTGCGTAAATATTACATAAATCAGAGGGAATGCCGGCTGTAACATTTAATAGTTTGTGTTAAATTGTTGCATCATTCAGCAGTGCTACACTCTATTTGCTCCACAAGCTAACATCTGCTAACCAGTTCAATAAATAGCAGTGATTACATCGACTTTATAAGCTTATTTAATTGCTGCAATATTGTTTATCTGGTCAGATCACATCCACATTGAGGTAAATAAAATAAAATCTGTTTACTTGTGAAATGAGATGTTTTCTTGTTTCTATTCTGTTGGTTTGTCCATAACTCACAGCTTTCTGACAGTTWATAAACATTAGATTATATACACTAAAACACTAGTAATCATGTTATTATTATTATTAGTTTTATGATTTCTACATCATCAGTCCTTTTTATCCTCTGTTTCCAACATGTACAGTAATGTACAGTAAATCCAGACTCTCTGTTCTGCTGAGATCAGCAGTTTCTACAGTAGATCACATGGTCAAAACTCACTCCAACTGTTCTATAGAACCTCCATGGATCAAACCATCATCACAGCAGAGTACTGCTCTCTTCTGAAATTTATAGCAGTTTATCCTTTTTTCTAAACCTTGACACTGCTGTCAGTTTCACATTAAGTTCTTATTTATATGAAATTCTTCTGCATTTTGCAACAGAAATAACTGCAGAATGAAGCAACAGCACTTAGTGCRGCGTGGTGGTGGAGGGCCACATCCTGCAGAGATTTTCTAATACGGTATTTCTGTTGAAATAAAACCAAACACCACTTTAAAACAGCAAAAATATTCCTTTAAGTGTTTTTACTGTTTAATAACAGCTGCACACACAACTCCAGTTGTAAAATAGTAAAATAACACAGAAATAAAAACAGAATGCAATCATTTGCAAAGCTTAWTATTATGGCACTAGTGTTTCTGATTAATTTGTCTCATTATTAAAATACGACATTTCTGATAAAAGAATGGATTCAGAACACTAGCTGCTCACTGAAATGTGTCCCTGAAGTGAAAACACACATTCACACACTGAGCTCTGCGTGTCCTTCTGTCCAGGTGTGTCCAAACGATGCGAGTGGCTCCTGGAGCTGATGGGCCACATCAGGAACGTTGCCTATGGTGCAGCTCCTGTCACCTGTGGAGACACCAAACTGGTACGGTTCTGGTATTCTTGCACGTCGGTTCTGTTTAATGTGAGCAGTGACTCAGCATTTCTACATGTTTGTCTTGTTCCACCACAACGACTCCTCATGACGTTCTGCAGATCCTTGGAATGACTCATTCAGCTGAATAAAGACTGACATGATTCACTTCATGTCTCCACAGGCAATGGATAAACTCAGGAAAAATAAATCATAAAAATCATATAAAAATGAACAGTTTCTTTACCAGAACCAAAAAAATAAACCCATTAGGTGTCAGATCTCTTTCCTSTAATGCTGTGTTCAGACCCAACATGTTTGCTTCTGCTTTGGAATGAAGAAAAAACAAACTATAAATTGTGATCTTGTTTTACTCGTCTGGTCAAACTCTCACTGAGTGTTTCTGGTTGTGTCTGCAGGCCACAGACTTCCTGTTCCAGCTCTTTGCAGCTGCTGTTGTTTCCTGGGGGGACCACTTCATGCCCCTCCTCCTTGGCATCAGGGCCCRGTGGTTCCCATGGAAAACAGGCCCTAGGCCTCCGACGCTCACACAYGGTCTGTACGGGAAAGGTCCACTCACCGAGCAGGCTCTGCCACAGTGCATGCTGGGAGTGTGCCACAGCCTGCCGCTGCTGCTGGACAAAGAGCCGTGGAGCAGCCAGACGCATAAGGTCAGTGTTTGTGTGGATATGAAGCCCGGTTCCCAGTCCAGACCGGTCTGGAAGGAACAGCTGTGGYTAAAGCAGGCGTGTCTCCACAGATACTGGATTAAACACACATAGAGTCCGTCTTTAATCACAGTTTATACTTATCAGTTTTGTGTTTGTGTCTCAGTTTATAGATTGGCTCCTCAACATAACAGAAGGTCCTGAACACAATCTGTCAGCCTCAACCATCAGCACAGCTAAAGGTGAATGACACAAACAATCTACTTGGCTCACATCATTTATTAGAGAGTATTACAAAAGTTTTCAACGCCTCTTAAAACCAGCTTATTGGGGCTTGCCATATAAAATGAATGAGAGAGCAGGGGAAGGCAATGCGAAGCCCTTAAGGTTTTCTGTAATTCAACATGGCACCCAGATTCAGCCGGTTCAGATGTTATCAGTCCATTAAATGGGCAATATTATGTGTTTCTCAGGCATACATTTAAATACTATACCATAATAAAGTATATCTCACCTTTAGTTATTATTAAAATGCTGTTTTTATGTTTATATAGAAACAACCAGATAACCAGATTGCATAAATAACCTTAGTGGCTTTATGCCTCATAATAACCTGCTGACAGTCTGAAGCCATTCTGTGGGACTGATAACCGCTGMTAACGTCCATTTAATGAACTGATAACATCCGAAGCGGGTGCCAGATTTCTCAGCAGTTTTAAGACATACAAAGCTGAAATTTGGTGGGGTAGTAGCTGAGAGCTAACTCAACACGTTCTGAACGCTGAACAGAAGTTTAAGCTAATCACTAGTGCTAATTTTTCTTTTGAAAAATATTCTAATTCAGCCATTTTAAGTGTTACAAAGCTGAAAACTGGTATAATAGTAGCCAAGAACAATCTTTGACACATCCTGAACGCTAAATAAAAATGCAAGATGGCCGCCGTAGCTAATTTGAAACTGCATTAACTCAGCCATTTTAAAATACTTTTAGCTAAACTTTGGTGTGGTGGTAGCTAAGAAGGATCTCCATCACCTACTGAAGCCAAATCAAAAATCCAAGATGGCCACCATAGCTAAAATGCAAAATTGACCATAACTCTGCCATTTTTAGACATATTTGACTCAGATTTGGCATTTTTCATCAGCCCGGACAGAGTTAAACAAATCTATCAGAGCTGTGTCTTGAGGAGTTCTTGAAGGAAACCAGTCTGAGTCTCGATGAATAATGGACTATGAAGGTGGAGCATCTGTATCCATTTCTTATGATTCATTTAAAGTCCATTTAAATGTGAGGCTGTAAAGCAGCTRAACAGTAAGAGAGATTTAACTCTGAAGACAGGGTGAAATAATGAAAACATTTTCAGTGCAAACAGTCATTTCTTCATGTTTTCCTCAGCATCAGCAGCAGTGTGTRCAGAACCATTAACTGTCTGCTCTCGTTCCAGCTGCTCTCCTCAGTCTGAAGTCCTCCGTTGAATTCAAGAAGAAAGCTGTGTGGACCCGAGCTTATGGCTGGTAACTGACACCGACTGCCTCTTCAGTCATGAACCGGACCTGAACATCCTCAAAGTGCAGCACGGACATTTGATAACGGCACATTTCTTTCTTTTAGTATCTGAAACATTCCTTTCATGGATTGTGCTGCATCTATTTCAACTCATTAAAGCAGTGTAACACATTATCTCTGTGTAACATGTCATTGTCCAGTCGCTCCGTCATTTCTTCTTCTTCTTGTTCCCTCTGTGCAGGTGATGCTGCCTCTCCTTCAGCAGCTGCCACACTGTTACAACAGCTCCTGAAAAACAAACCCTTTCGTTAAAATAAGATCTAAAACAATCACTGTAATAACGTCACACTGACAATAATAATAAGAAAACGTGTTTGATAATGGCAGATTGTAAAGTTGAAATATTTTAGGTCCAACTTTTCCTTCTTACCCAGAGACAGAAGAGGCAGGTAGAGCATCAGTAGCGAGGGGGGCTGAATGGCCACAGAGTGGGGGGCTGTTTGCTCCATGTAGGGCAGCGCCTGGTAAAACGTCACACCTGTGGAAGAMATGAGTTTTTGTAGATAAACACACAAAACAATGATCACCAGCTGCAGAACCTCTTTGATGTTTCTGTTCCTTTTCCTTCTCGTCTGTTGTCATACGTATGGAGCTAAATTAGATCCATAAAATTTGTTCAAAATAAAAGTTTTTGAAACTGAAAAAATATATATTTGAAACTGGAAAAAAAATCGAAATTGAAAATAAAAAATTGAAACTCAAAAAAATTTGTTGAAACTGAAAAAAGTTGAAACTGAAAAATAATTTTGAAACTGAAAAATAACATCTTGTCTTTTTTTCCAGTTTAATTTTTTTTTTTTTTTTCAAATTGACTGCTCAACACAGACTGGACAAGCTGTTGCATTCAGGAACCACCTGCTTCGAATTGAATGTTGTCAGTCCATTAAATGGTTGTTATTAGCAGTTATCAGTCCCATACATTGTGTGCAGGCTGTCCCTCCTCTACCTCCTATAGAAGTACCACAACTAATCCATACCAAAGCCTCTACGTTACACTGAGTTTAACCCTCAGAGGACTTACKAAAGAGATGAAAATATTCTCCAGCCCTGGCCTCCAGAATCAGTGGTTTATTATCACGCACTGCACTGGAATGCACTTTTCTCACACACTTCCTGACAATTTTTCATCTACACATTTGCCAACTCATTTCCTGTTCTGTCCCACCCTTCTCTTGCACAACAGCAACTTGTGAAACCAAACAACACAGAGTRTGCTGCTGCTCGACCTCCAGACGTCTGCAGGCTTCAGTGTTTGGAGGCTGAAAGTCATCTCACCTTCAGTGACGACTGACAGGATGTACAGSGGGATCCAGAGAGTGTAGCGGGTCCACAGCATGCCCGTGGACGGTCTGTCCAGAACACACAGCAGTTCATGAGGGTAGCTGTCATCACACACATTTCATCATGTTAGTAAATGATTAATCAATAAACTGTTTCTGGCTAATCATGAACTCAGAAGGGAAATGCAGAAAATCAGCAGTTAACTGGGTTAACTCACTGACCCACCTCTTCTAACTGGCTTTTAACCTCTTCAGATTTTTTTTTCAACAGTCAGAGGAATGTATGGAGAATCAGGTTTTTCAGTCTCAGCTGGTTAGGCTTTGGAACAACTTAAAGCTCAAACAATTAAAGCAGTTTAACCAAACACTTGTKGATTTTTCACCATATTGTTTACATCAGAAAGCTATTTTGGGTGGAGAAGTTTAAAATRGTTTGTTTTKCAAMATGTGTCTTAAATAAYGTGTGGCAATGAACATTTCAAACAGCTGATATTTACTGTAAATACAATAATTTGACCCTAAATCTTATCACTCCTATACCCCTCAACCTCCTGTACCCTTAAAGCTGGTATACCCCCAAATATCCTATACCACTAAAGCTTCTATACCTCCAAAGCTATAAAGCTATTATACCCCTTAATATTCAATACCACTAAAGCTTCTATATGTCCAGAACTCGGTTACCCCTCAACTTTCTATACCGCTAAAGCTTGTGTACCCATGAAGCATCTATTCCCCTGAATATTCTATACCACTAAAGCTCATATTCCCCTAAAGCTTATGTACTTCCAGATCTTCTATGCCCCTAAAGCWCCTATACTTCCAAAGCTCCAATACCCCTAAATATCGAATATGCCTATTGCTCCTATACCCCTAAAGCTTATGGACTTCCAGATCTTCTGTACCCCTAAAAGCGTGTGCACTTCGAAAGCTCCTATACACCTGAATTTTTTTATATGGCTATAGCTCCTATACCCCTAAAGCTCCCATACCCCTAAAGTTTCTGTACCCCTAATGCTCCTGTACCTCTAAAGTTCCTATACCCCTAAAGTTCCTATGCCCCCAAAGCTCTTATACCCCTAAAGCTCCTATTCCCCTAATGCTCYTACACCCATAAATCCCCCATACCCATAGCTGCTGTACTCCTATACCCCTAAATCTCTTATACCCCTATAGCTCCTATAAGTYCAAAGCTCCTGTCCTGAAAGTCCTATACCCCTGAAGTTTCTTTTTGCCTAATGCTCCTATAACTAACCCCTAAAAATCCCAACAACTTTCCTAAAGTCTTTTTTATGCTTTTAACAGACTGTTTCATCTGCAAATTTCTAAAAGTTTTTTTAATAGTGTACCGTAGAAGGTCTTGTATGTTCCATAAAAAGAACTGCACGCACACAACCGGTTCACTTTGGAACTCCTCTAACATGATAAGCACGATCAGCAGAAAGTTTTTCTCCATCACCTGAAAGATGAAAACCAGTAAATGATTCAATGAAATCATTGAAAGTAATTAACAGGGATACTGTTTCAGGGCTGAGCTGAGACCCACCTGTATAAACCGAGGAAGAAGTCTGGCTTTCTCAATCCCGTCTGTGATATGAAACATCTCCAGAATGGAGAGCAGCTGACAGAGACTCATCACAAAGCCGATGGAGTAAAACGTGTCGGCTAAAGCATCTGAAAGACAAAAGTAGGGCTTATTTTACCTGATGTTGCTGTCTAATGACTCAAAGTAGTAAGTTGTTCCCTCCCATTATAAGATGATCGTGGTTAATTGTTATTGTTCAGTCTTCTTCCTTACCTTGACCAAACATGAGAAACCTCACAATGGTGTTGGTCAGGATCCATGTGTGACCACAGAACTGGAACAAGTTATATGAGAAAATGTAGRCGAGCCTGAAGCTGAGCCTGCAGGATAAGACAAACGCATCAGAAACTAGACTAGATTTTTGTACTGCAGTATATTGTAGTGTCACAACTTAAAGCCTGTTTGTGCTGCCAGAGATCAACCTCACATGACACCTGACCCAGTTCTACCTGCGGGGTGGGCCCACAGGGAAGTGGCTTCTTGTCTGTTTTTTTTTTGGTTTGGTCCAGCTGGGCCCCAGGAGCCAGGGCTCGGTGACCAAGCCTCTCACCCCCCAGGGCTAGAYCTCTTTAAGGTGAGACATCCTGATGAACGTGATCAAGATATTGATCAGCAATATCAGGAATCATGGGCCCAGTTTGACATGGTAGACCCGATCAGGGACTAACTCCTCAGACCACATACCACTCAGGATCATAGGAGTRCTCAAACCCCACATTAGGTGGTGATTCATGTGGTGTTACTAAGAGGCTCATGAGACTTTGACCATCTAGTCTACATACAGCAGGTAAAATAAGTATTGAACACGTCAACATTTTTCTCAGTAAATATATTACTAGAGGTGCTAATGACATGAAATTTTCACCAGATGTTTGTAACAACCCAAGTGATCCAAGTTATTTGTAATA